TCAGTAAGTGAAAAAAGTATCAAAACTGTATATAAAGTTTGATTCCATTTCAAAAATTATGTGTATACATACATGCATATGCACTTAATTTATACAAAAATGCAAAGTATTTTTCATGAATTATAACTCTTGTGTGATTTATACTTAATTCTTGTGTGCTTTATACTTAGCTACATTTCTAATTTCTATACAAAGACAATATATTCCCCAGGTAATTTAATAAAAGATTAATATTAAATAATGTAAAAATCTCACGTACACATCTTCAAAACAAACAGCTTGACCCTGTAGATAATTCCTAATTACAAATCCATGTCTGGTTACTTATCATGCTATATGAAGACCAGCTTATGCTCACAGATGGGCTTTTCTCCATTTAATCAATAAAATTTGAGTTACATTCCTTTTAGCTGACTCTATTTTCCTTAACCAAAAGTCTTAGGCACTTTCTACAACATTTTCAAGATTAATCTAATACATCAGCACCCATGTCTCTAGTCAAATTTATTTGAGGTACTCCAAACATCTGAAGGGAATACTGAGTAGTCTGTTTTGATTACCTGTGTCCATTACCAAAGCACTTCACTTACCAATAAATTAAATCTTGTGTCCAAAAAACTGTGTCCAAAAATATAATCATTTAAAAATCTAGGTTCTTCCCCTTCCCTTAATGAACATTTCAGTTAAATCATTAGTAAGCCCATAAAAGACATCTGTGCAGGTGGGGGTGTAGAGAAGTCCCCACAGAGTAAGCAACACATCTATGAGAGAGAGAATTGTGCATGTATACATATACCTGAGGGGGACAAAATTATAACAACAACAAAAAAGACAGGAGTCAGCTTGTAGGAGCTCTTACTAGCCAAATCAGGGATAATCTGAACATGAAAAGAAATAAAAATGGTAATGGACCATAACCCACTGAAAAAAAAATAGAAATCCTTTGAATTCATGCTGAGATTTCAAAAAACAAACAAAAAAAATTAAGTTTAATGAGAAATGGGGATATTTAGAATTTCAAAATACCTTCATACAAAATATGAATTACAAATGAGAAAAAGCATAGCTTAAGAATGGAGAATTCCAGGAGACATCACCATAATCAAGTGTTCAAAGACAACAGCATCAGTAAAGAAAATAGTTAATACATCAGCCCTCACACAATCCTCAGAAGAAAGATCTGCATGAAAAATGGTCCACTATTAACTACTGGGAACTTGGATTTAGAGCAAGCATGTCAAACTCAAAGGCTAACACAGGCCAAATAAACAAGGTTTAAGTTTATGTGGGCTGCAAAAAAACAAAAGCTTCAATTTTCATAGAAATAAAGGTTTATTTTGATATAAACATGCTGAATGCAAAGGGCTGAAATAAATGAGTAATCATTAACATAATAGAACATTTTAATAAAAATGAATACTTTTTCTTAAACATTAACTTAACAGATACTGAATAAATGCACAAATTAATAAACATAATGCAAATAAACCTATTTTTCTTGTTCTCCGAAAGCGAATATTTCCTGTTGTGTACACCAAAAATAATGGTGTGAAAATTCTTTGTAAAACTACAAATCACTATTCAGATGCATAGCTCAAATATGCTACCTCTGTGTTCACGGGTCTGCCTTCCTAGAAATTTCCTTTCCCACCTTGCTTGCTTAGCTACTTCCTGTGCACATACATGGATGCAAGACTAATGGCATGGCAATCCGCTGCTGAAATATTCGCTGCTAGCATTAGTGGAGAGAAATGGTGCTCCTGAGCCCGTAAGGCACATAAGAGAATTGAATGCAACATGATTATAGTAATCAGTCATTAGTGAACGTTGTAGTTCGTTATTGATAATTATGTATAACAGGATATTATAACAATTAAGTGATGACATTTTTATTAAAATGTTTCTAACATGCCATTGTACTGGCTGTAAGAATATTCTGGCAAAAATATTCATCGTGAGCCACATGCAGCCTATAGGCTGTGGGTTTGACATGCTAGATTTAGAGAGTCCCACCATTCCCTAAATGAGAAGGGTGTCTCAATGTGAAATTGTTCAGACAAACAAAATGGTTTATGCAGAACACTGGAGGGGTTAAGTGTGTCTTCAGTTTGACTCCTCTAGAACAAAACTCTTGGGAGCTTGCCTAGCTTTCCTTGCTGAATGTGCTTTGTCACCTTCCCCTGTAATAAATCTTAGCTGTGAACATGATTGTTATGCTGAGTCTTTCTAGCAACTACCAAATCCAGGAATGGTCTTGGGGAAACCCAATAGAAGACAAATCAAAACCATGTGCTACTCAACAGGATACAATAAGAACATAGCATCACTTCTGTAAGATTCCCCACCCCAAATACATAACCTAAACCAAATTTTAGAAAACGTGAGAGGAACCCAAAGAGGGACTTTCTATGAAATTACTAATCTGAAATTTTGAAAAGTGGCAAGATTATTGAAGTCAAGAGAAGACTAAAAAACGGTTCCAAATTTGAAAGACTAAAGGGACGTGAATACTAAATGCAATGTGTGATTCTAGACTGGATCCGCATTTCTCAAAAGGGCATTATTGGGACATCTGGTGATACTAAAATCAGATCTACAATAACAGTTACATGTCAGCATTACTTTTTCTGACTTGAATGGATAAGGTACATTGGAAAATTTCCTTATTGGTAGGAAGCAGCTACTTAAATGTCCAGGATCATGACATCACACCAGGACCTTAGTTTCAAATGGTTTAGGGTATAAAAGCATTCTTGCTACATTCTTGGAACTTTTCTCTGAGTTTGAGATTGTCTAAAAATAACAAGGATGATGATGTGGGTACCAAGGAATGGTACCCACTCCCATCTTTAGAATGATGTACTATGAGAAGGTACAAAATCCTATGTAGGGATTGCAGAAACTAGACCACACCAAGAAAAAAGTTTACATAATCAAGAAAGCTTCCAAGCCAAATACTTTAACCTTTATCAGACGAAAGGGAACTTTAGTTCCCGGCAAGGAGTGGTTAAAAGATAACTTTAATACATTTTCTTTATAAATGTTTTTACTTTTCATAAATAACTCAAAAAATATTTAAGATAGAGGCAAAAAAGTAAATGCCTGCAGAGCTGAATTTAAATGCCCAAGAAAGCTCCGGCCGGGAGACCCACTACAGAAATTTAAATGCTGTCTTTTAAAGGTTAAGTGTACTGGTTCATGGTTATTAAACAACTAGAGGCCCAGTGCATAAAATTTGTGCACAGGGGCGGGGGGGGGGGGGGGGGGGGAAACCCTCAGCCCAGCCTGCACCCTCTCCAATCTGGGATCCCTCTCACCCTTTCACAATCCAGGACTGCTGGCTCCCAACCTCTCGTCTGCCTGCCTTGATGATTGCCCCTAACCGCTTCTGCCTGCCAGCCTGATCATCCCTAACCACTCTCCTGACAGCCTGATTGCCCCTAACTGCCCTCCCCTGCAGGCCTGAACACCCCTAACTGCCCTCCCCTGCTGGGCGGGTTGCCCCCAACTGCCCACCCCTGCAGGCCTAGTTCCCCCCGAACTGCCCTCCCGTGCAAGCCTGGGTCCTTCCCAACTGCCCTTCCCTGATGGCCTGATCACCCACAACTGCCCTCCCTTACAGGCCTTGTCTCTACCCTGTTGGCCATCTTGTCCGGTTGCTCCCAACTTCCCTCCTCTGCCGGCCTGGTCACCACTAATGTCCTCCCCCGCAGGCTTGATTGCCCCCCAACTGCCCTCCTTTGCAGTCCTGGTTTCTCCTACTGCCCTCCTCTGCTGGCCTGATTGCCCACAACTGCTTTCCCTTGAAGGCCTGGCCCCTCCCAACAGCCTTCCCCTGCTGGCCTGATTGCCCACAACTGCCTCCCTTACAGGCCTGGTCCCTCCCCTGCTGGTCATCTTGTGTCAGCCATCTTGTGTCCACATGGGAGCAGCCATCTTTGACCACATGAGGGCAGCCATTTTATGTGTTGGAGTGATGGTAATTTGCATATTACTCTTATTAGATAGGATAGAGATCTGGTACATGGGTGGGGGCTGGCTGGTTCACTCTGAAGGATGTCCCGGATCAGGGTGGGGGTTCCCTTGGGGTGTGGGCGAGGAGCCTGTGATGGTTTGCGGGCCAGCCATGCTCCCTGGCAATCCAAACAGAGGCCCTGGGATCTGGCATTTATTTATCTTCTATAATTGAAACTTTGTAACCTTGAGCAGAGGCCAGGGCCAACCAGAGTGGGCAGAAATCTTTGCTTCCTCCATTGCCAGAGAAACCCAAACATCCTGCTTGCTCCGTGGCTGGCCACCATCTTGGTTGGCATTATTGCATACTCAATCCTGATTGGCTAGTGGGCATGACTTGTGGGTGTAGTTAATTTGCACTTTTCTCTTTTATTAGTATAGATCACATGTGTCAAACACAAGGCCCGCGGGCCAAATCCGTCCCGCCAGGCCTTGCAATGTGGCCTGCACTGCGCTGTCATCACTGCACTCCGCTGCGTTTCCATCACAATGACAGTTTATGACTGTTCAGTAAACCATTCGACCCGTGATTTAGGCTGGATTTTAGATTTTGGCCCCTTCTCTGATTGAGTTCGACACCCCTAGTATAGATCATTAATTGCAGAAAAATCACTGAGGTTAGAGTTGATTAATATTTATCTAGTAAATTACTTAATAAGTCTTCACTGTTGGTGATAAAATTAAGAATTTTTATTCGGTGTAAATTTTCATAGATCATTTTCAGTTAGAAAAGCCCATCTACAACATCCACTGCCAAAGAATCACTGAAAAATTCCAAAAACATGAAATTACCGTTTGTGTGCTTCCTGTTTGCTGCGACATTCTTCACAGTAGTATTTATATTCACTGCATAGAGTTTCTGTGTTGCTAAAACCCCTGTGTAAAATTCAAAATAAATTTATTTTGTCTATACAAGAAAATCATGTATTCATTTTGAAATACTCTAAAGATATTCATTAGAATTCATGATGAATGACTACTCTTACCTTAAACAGTGAGTAATTGATGTATTTTGTTCCACATCAACAGAAAGATCTAAAAAATCTTCATCTTTGCTGCTTATCTATAAAAATAGAAAATTATCTTTGATTTTTTTCAAATATCAGTAAACCACTGTTCCAAAATGATATAATTAAGTGCATTCTAATATTAGTAGTATATATATGAAGATCCTTTTTCCCCAAGTTCAAAAGAAAAGGACTTGATTTGGATTATTCAAAAGAACACCGTATAAATAACTCTCATTACGTGTGACTAATCCTCTTATTGGCAAAGGCTAGTTATGTATGAAATGCCATTATTTTCCAAAGTCTTTGTAAAGCATGAAACAAACTGTACCATATGCACCAATTCTTAAAAAACATAGGCAGGCCAAGAATGAATGAGAATGCTTGGCAAAGGACATGGCAAAGGACCTGTATTGTTTTATCATTTAAGAAAATAATTTAGCCCAAAATGACAAATCCCAGGCTTCATCTATGACCTTTTATTTCTAAAAAAAAAAAACAACAACAACAAAACAAACTAATATAAAATTCTATTTGACTTATGGGCAAATCACCTTATAAAAATGATTACTTATTCATTTGAATTGGATTAGACCAAAATTTTAGACATCAATTTTCCTTGTTACTTCCTCCTTCAGTGACTTCATGTCCAAGGTGACCATAAAATAGGAGAAAAGCCTGACTCAGTTCCCCTGTGTCTCTCACCCACAATGACTATACACCCAATCCAATAAATGCTTTTCTGTTTCAAATGCATTGTTATAAGCTCAGAGTCATTAGCTTGTAACATTATATAACTACATATATTAGATACTTGTGCAAATAGGAGTAAACAGGAGTATGTGTATGCAGTGCAAGCTAACTCATCTGGGTCTTGAAAGATTCAGTGAAAAAGAAGTGGAGAAACAAGGGGGAGAAAGACAAGTAACAGAGGAAAGATAATATGATGTATTTTAAATAACTAGCCTGGTGTTGTAGGAAAGTGGGTAGGGTGATAAGAGAGAGTATGGGAGAGGCAGGCTAAAGCCAGATCAGGCAGGGATGTATAACAGATCAGCTTTGTATCAGATCAGACAGGCCCAAAGAGAAATAAAGATGAAGGAGTATGGTGTTTCTCAAAATGAGGTTTGTGGTTCTCAGACACTGTCTCAGGAGTCTTCATCTTAAATTTTCATTTTTATGGTAACATAAAAAATTTGACATAAGGATGCTCTGGATCATCTGGATATATCTTAGTTACTTACCTATGTTTGTGTTCACAATTAATTGTGTTGGTGCCAAGTGATTGCTAAGTGGGGCAGTACTTAACTTTTAAGTGTTTGTAAACATTTCTGGTTATTGTTGTGCTACTATGTCTCAATGTGAGGTCAGACCCAGTATGTGGGAGATACAGGTCTAAAACTAAGTGAACAAGTCTAACTGGGAAGTCGTTAGCACAGGTGGTTAATGGAACATAACCTTCCCAATAAGAGTGAGAGGCAGTCCAAAATGAAACTCTGGAGGATACTTACCTGAAAAGGATAAATGAAAGAAGAAAAGCCAAGTAATGAGAGCAAGAAAGAAGCATCACAAAACAAAGAACAGAAGAGAGTGTTGCTACAGAAAGAAACCAGCCTCCTACCAACTAGAAGAGTAACAACTGCATCACTAAAATCTGCCATACAAGCACTACCTTCTCCAGGAAGCCCATCCAAACCTTCCCAAATGCTTCCCACTCCTACCTGGATTAGGTCTACTGTTCTCTGGCTCCATGGCCTCCTGTGTCTAGTTCCCTAAACCATGCACATTGTACTGGAACTGCCTGACTAGTTGTTGAGTGGACATCAATACCCTATGAGCATCCCGAGACCAGAAATCATGTCTTATTCATCTTCCCCCAACCTCACCCATCTTTTACCTGGCATAGTTGGTTATTTAAATATTTGTGCAAAACTAATGAAGTTTGATATTAATGAACATCTCCTGAATCTGCAAAATTACATCTTAGATTATGAGCAAATATGTTTAATTCCCTCATTCATGGAAGACTACCTACAAATATATATTATAGACCACAGGAGGTCCAATTAAGTATAGGTAGACAGATCACTATCTACACATTACAAATCAAATTAATAAATATTTGACCACTAATAAGGATGGCTGATATAACTTTTTCCCCATCTCCCAATATCCCCAGTCTACAAAATAAACTTCAAAGTCCTTAGCAGCATCCCAAAGACCTCCACAAAGATTCTCAAACCTACCTTGGCAGTCTCACCTATTACTTCATTGTTCAACATACTAAACAAATTCAATTCTTTTCTATTTCAATGAAGAAGGTTGAGTTATATATATATTTTCTAACACAGACCAAATTCTATTATACTAAACATCAAGCAACTGCCAAATTCTCTAATTTACAACTATTATTCCAAATGAAATACTGCTCAAATAATCTGTCAATGTTTCCTGAAGCTTAGAATTCAGTTACAATAAAAATAAATTTCTTTATAAGATATATCAAAAAACTTATGTTAAAATAATTAAAGTTGAGAAGGAAATGGGGAGGGAGCAGGCAGAAGAGGATAAAGAGGGTATAAATGATTACGGAAAGAGACTTGAATTAGGGTGGTAAATACACAATACAACATACAGATGATGTATTATAGAATCGTACACCTGAACCTATATAATTTTATTAACCAATGCCACCCCAATTAATTCAGTAAAAAACTGAATTTGATTAGATTGAATAAAAATGAGTATTGAATTGAATCCCCAACATCAAGCATTGACCACTCAAAGCCATTGATGGATTTAACTGATGGTTGCAGCAAAGAACAGAGCACAGCACCAAAGATACCCTTATTCTCCTTACTCTAACTCAAAAACATCTTCACAGGCTATTAATGTACCAGTTTTTAAGCATTCAGTCATACCTCTTTAACGTGAAAGCCGCTCACCTATACAAATTTATTTAGCGGGAAGGAGACAAAAACTCCGGCTGTGCTGAGCCCCAGTTCCGACTGCTCTGAATCCTAGTTCTAGGCCAGAACCTGGGGACCCAGGCTTAAACAGAGGGAGCCTGGGCTGTAAGGCAAAATCCCAGGGGAGCGGCGAAGGGCAGAGCCCCCGGAGTCGCACACATTGCGCGCATAGGACGGACTGTTGACTCTGATGCTAGACTGCCCTGGCGGGAAGGAGACAAAGGCTCCAGGCTGGGAGGAGCATGATGAGGAGCGGGAGTCGCCCCCAGGCGCTGGCAAGCAGGGCGTCGGCAAGGAGCCGGGCGACAGGGCCCCCTTGTGCCGCTGTGCCCTTGACCGCTGATCGCCGGCCATGGAGCCGAGACCGGGGGCTGCTTCCTGGGTGGCGCCGACCCCAGCAACAGCCTGAAGCCTCATAGGAGGCCCAGGAGAACAAGGGGGCGCCGCGGGCCAGCTTGCTGAGCTTCCAGGAGGAGGAGGAAGAAACCGAAGAAGTTTTCAATGTGAAGAAATCAAGTTATAGCAAAAAGATAGTAAAATTACTTAAGAAATAATACAAAGAAGATCTTGAAAAATCGAAGATTAAGACAGAACTCAACTCAGCAGCCAACATTGCAACATAAATGCGTTAAAAAAAAAAAAAAAAGAATGTTGGAGCGGCGGCAGCCAGGCCCAGAGTGGCCAGGCCTAGAGCAGCGCAGCCGGGCCCGAAGCAGCCAGGCCTGGAGCAGCAGCATCCAGGCTCGGAACAGCCAGGCCCGGAGCAGCCAAGCCTGGAGCAGCAGCAGCCAGGCTCGGAACAGCCAGGCCCGGAGCAGCCAGGCCCAGAGCAGCAGCAGCCAGGCCCGGAGCTGCCAGACCGGGAGCAGCCAGGCCCGGAAGCATCAGGCCCCGGAGCAGCAGCAGCCGGACCCGGAGCAGCAGCAGACAGGCCCGGAGCAGTCAGGCTGGGAGCGGCCAGGCCTGAAGTGGCCAGGCCCAGAGCAGCTGGGCCCAGAGCAGCCAGGTCGGGAGCAGCCAGGCCAGGAGCAGCTTGCTCCTCGCCTGCCCATGCCCCAGGGCTGCTTCTCAGACATGGCTGGAAACTTTTGGGGGAACTTGAGGGTCTGCTGAATCAAGTGATGAAGGCTTAGATCTGGATGTGTTGAGTTGTTGTAGTGCTGGGGTATTGATCTGTGAGTGCCTTGTGTGGGGTCTGGATGAGGTTGGTTGATCTATTTGGAAGTGTCTTTTGTGTGAAGTATATCCTTGGGCATGTGGAGGTATTATTGATTTGAGAAAATGCTAAGTAATTGATTTACTATCTGAAAAATTTAAAGTTCTGAAAGTTTAAGGTCTCTTTCCAAAAAGGTTTTAAGATAACACCTTAATTTTAATGGAGAAAGGGGAGGACAAGCCCTTCCCACCCAGAACAGGTAATCCAATTCCAGCCAGCAGCTAACTTTAAACAAAGTGTTCATTTACATTTGAATGGCTACGCCTTTTGATAGCCTAAGGGCAAGTTTACATGTAAACAAGTTTGCTTCTCAGTTCCCAGGGCAGAAAAAACAAGGTTTAAAATTATTAGATTTTAAAATTTATTCTTAAAAATATAAAAGTTTATTAATGAAAAAAAAGGGAAATTAAAAAACCTGATGAACAATATTAGCTATTGATTATAATAGAATCAGAGATACGGGAGGGGAGTGGACTGACAATTCTCAGGGAAGGAGGGAGTGGTGGATGAGGAAAGAGACAAATTAAACTGTGCACCTATGGATGAGGACAATGGGGAAAGGGCAGAGGGTGGGGTGGGGGACCTGGTGGAGGGGGGAAGAAATGAGGAACCTTTGTAATAATATGAACAATAAAGATTGATTTAAAAAAAAAAGTTAATCAACACTCAATAGATCACTCACTGGTATGTGTTATGATTTTTTCCCCCAAACAGTGTTAGAACAATTTGACATCTACATTCAAAGGAAAAATATCTAGACATTGATCTTACACCTTTCACAAATTATAAAATGTAAACTATGAAATTCCTAAAAGATTAACATAGGAGAAAATCTAGATGACCTTGAGTTTGGTAAAAACTTGATACAACACCAAAAGCATTTCAAGAACGCCAACAATATTACCATGAAGGGAAAAAACTGGACTTTACTAATATAAAAATCTTAAAGCTCAAATATTAAAAACTTCTGATCTGCCAAAGACATTGTTAAAAGAATGAGAAGACAGACTGCAGACTAGGAGAAAATATTTGCAAAAGGCATATCTAATAAAGAAGTGGTATCCAAAATATACAAAAAACTCTTAAAACTCAACAACATGAAAACAACCCTATTTTAAAAATAGGAAAAATAGGTGTGCAGACACCTAACCACAGAAGATATACAGATGGCACATAAGCACATGAAAAGATGCTCCACATCAGCCACTGGGGCCTTGGCAAATGAATATTTTTCCCTCTTCAAAACAGTATGCTTTAGTCTTTATTCCAACCTTAAATAATAAATATAACTGTAAAAGAGGAAAAAAATAATATACCTCCCTGACCTCAAAGTTTCTTATGAGCTGAACTAATACATGATTTCCAGACAAGGGTCTATGGCCTTCTGAAATGAAACAAAATCAAACAGCTCACTGCAGTCTTTTTCTGTCACCAAAGGTGTTCACAAAAGCAGTATTATGAAAATCTATAGAGATTATTTTTTTTTCCTTTTTAAAAATAATTCTTTATCGTTGAAAGTATTACATATGTCACTCTTTCCCCCACTAGACTCCCTCCAGCCTTCCCCCACCACCACCACCACCCCCACCCCGCCCCACCACCCCAGGCCTTCATCACCCCATTGCTGTGTCCACTTTGTTCCATGTTTTCATGTCGAGGAATTCTTTTCACCTAACAAGTCCATCTTTAACATTTATCCTACACTTAAGAATTACAGCTTCCAAGTTTATCTCTCATACTTATCCTCAAAGAACTTTTACAATAATGAATTAAATGTTGTTCTATACAAACTGTTACAATATACTTACAGTTTCACAAGTAAGACATCTGGTTTCATTAGTTAATGTTCCCTGAAAAATCTCATGAACCCATGTTGGGTCTGGTGTGCTGTTGTTGTTCTCACTGTCAATGTTACCATTCGGGAGACGGCCATTTTGTTTTTCCTGCTTTCTTTCTTCTTGTAATATATCAGCAATTGTATTTAGTAGGTAATTTAAAAACTCATGGGCATCTTGCTGCATGTAGTTGTCAAAAAGCTCTAAAAATAGAAATATATTAGAGAATTATTTCAGAATTAATAACTTCATTAAAAAGCTCACTTTAAAAAAGAATAGCATTCCATCAGAACTAAGTAAAAATGTTTGGTAGTATTAGTAATTTACAAGAAATAAGTATCTTTCACATCTAAAAATTATGACTAAATTTGGAGAAATAAAGTTAAGATGAATGAGAATCTTAAAAAAAAAAAAAAAATACTGACTGATCCATGAGGAAAGGGCAAAACCTATCCTCATACATTTAACATAATGGGAAGACAAAAAATAACTGCTTTTTATTAGCTCATCAAATTTATTAGTCCACAAATATTACAACATGGCACATTTTTAAGGTGGACAACCTCTTGCCACTGTCAAGCCAAATGCATAAAAATCACATGGAAAGTATGTCAAAATTATAAATGACTGGGCCATTAATCCCAGAGATTTTGATTTAGTAAGTCAGTCAGAGTTGAGGTCTGCAACTTTGACTTCCCAAAGCTCTTCTAAGTGACTCTGATGTTTACTGAGGTTTAAGAAATAATGATATCAAGAATTATCTATTTAATCTAGATAATCTCCAAAGACTCTTCCAAATATGAGATGTTATTAACTCCAGGAAATATTCCCTGCAGTTATACAAATGAATAATTATAATGGAAATACCGATAGTTGCTAACAGTAAGTGTTCTACCCCGTCCTTGACATTATACAATCCTAAAATTGAAGAATAAGAACTTTACAGGTGGAATCTCATTTGATCTTAAGAATCCTATGCTATTGTTACTGACATTATTTTACAAATAGGGAAATGGGATCAGAGAGGATAAACTCAACACTGCCAGGAAACGGCAGAGGCAATATTCAGACCAGGCAGTTGAACTCCACCAAACTGCACACAAAGCTTACAGTATGAGCCATTTCCTAGTTAGGAAATGTCGCCATCAGATCTTCAATGCACATTTAATAAATTCCAGAAAGACTACAGTTTTTAAATGAAAGAATACAATGTAGAAGAAAATTCAGGGAAAGTCTAAGATGAAACAAATACCAAAAATCACATTTTAGAAGAGCTACAGATATGACTGCATAAAATTAGGTTCTATGCATTAGGAATCATTTAAAAGTTAAAAATAAACAGTAAAACCTGAAAATTATTAATATTCTCTACATATAAAGAGCTATACAAAAGAAAATGCAAAATGGGCAAAGGACTTCAAATCAACAACTTATAGAAACAAAATTCAAAAGGTTAAGAAACATGATTTTCCTATCTGTAAAATAGAATATCATCTTCCTTTGAAAGGCAAAAGTTAAAGTATTTCTCGGGGAGTTATATGAAAAGGAAATAAAGCAAAAATTTAATTTTGGTGTCAAAAAGACCAAATATCATGTTTCATATGCAAGACTGGATTCATATTATGGGTCCACCTCTAATCATCACATGTCATAGGCAATTTACTTAACCTTACCTTTCTGTTGGATTGCAAATCAAATACAGTAATATTAAGAACAAAATTGAAGCCACACTTCATTTCTCTGCTATAAATTTGTCCTGAGGGGTTTGATCAGCCTTAAACTCCCTAAGTTATTTTTAACAGTTTTACACGGACTAAACAACTAAAGGCTCTTTAATTTGGAATGACATGTGTCCACTGGTTTTTGCTCACAAAAGACAGTAAATCCAAAGCACTATGACACTATTCCCCACCCCTGCTCATAGAAGTCACTGCACTACCCCTGACACCAAGACAGCCTGCACCTCTGCAAAACCTCCCGGCCACCCCAACTCTGAGACCAAGCCAAGCCCTGCTTGCAACCCTCAGGTGGTTCTGCCATTGGATCAGTCTAAGCCAAAGTTAAAACAACAGAAGTGAATTGCCTTTAACCTTGCCTCTTACTAGAATAATTTTCCATCCCTGAAATACAACTTCACCCCCAACCCGTCACCTGTTCCCTACTCTTCTCATTCCCTCTGTCCTTATTTCCTTCCTCAGCCTAGGGACTTTCTTCTTTCCTAGCCCTTTATGTTGTTCCTTCTAAAGACCACATTTTGTTCAAAACTCCCTATCTCTACAAGCTTTTGCATTTTCTAGCTTCCTGCTGCCACTTTTAAACAACTATACTCTCATTTGCATGTAAAAACGCATTCTCAATCAAAAAAAATTCTAAAGATCTGGTCATACTACCTTCTCCCTCTTATCTCTGCAGTCATCTGCCAAACCTCCCCTTACTCACTCACGGATGGCCCGACTCATGATTTCTCTGTCCAGCCTGACTCCTGCACCAACCATGCTGCTTTCAGTGTTTACGCAGCTTCCTTACTTGCACGTGAATCCCTTAAAAATCAAAAGCTTTCCTTTCTCTCACTCACCTCCCTAGCTCACAGATACATAAAAATCCACCTCAGAAGGCCCATTAGGAAAAGTACTGAGCCCTGGTTGGTGTGCTCAGTGGTTAGAGCAGTGGGCTGCACACCGAAGGATTCCGGGTCAAAACCACATACCTGAGTTATAGGTTTGATCCCTGGCCCAGGTCAAGACGTATTCAGGAGGCAACCAATTGATGTGTCTCTCTCACGTTGATGTTTTTTTTTTCTCTCTGTGTTCCTTTCTCTCTCTTTTCCTCCCTCTCTCCTCTTCCCTTCCTTCTACTCTCTAAAACTCAATAGAAAAATCCTCAGGTGAGGATTAACAAAACAAAACAAATGAAAAAAATGAGGACTGAAAGGCCCTGGCCTGGTAGTTCAGTTGGTTAGAACAGTTGTCCCTTACACCAAAAGGTTGCAGTGGAGGTAACCATCAATGTTTCCAATCTCTCTCTCTCTCTCTCTCTCTCTCTCTCTCTCTCTCTCTCTCATCTGTCTCTGTCTCTCTCTCTCTCTCTCTCTCTCATATATATATATAGATAGATAGATAGATAGATATATCTATATATATAGATATATATACAATATATATCTCCCCCCCTCCTCCCTCCCTCCTTCTAAAAGAACAAAAACCAATAAAAACATACCCTCAGGATTACAAAATATATAAGGTCTGAAAGGAAAGTATGCTAGAGTTGGCTAGGGGAATTGAGAAGAGTGGAAACAGATTGGAAAAGCCACAGAGAGATCTAAAAGAGGAGGGTTATAGGAGAGGACCAGTGAGAAGATTTATAAACATTGCCTACTTAAGGTGAGGGCCGAATAATTCACTGCAGTCGATAAAAAATACATTTTAACATATACACACGTTTTTCAAAATAATTAGTTCTTTTTAAAGGAAAACTGTGCAAATGTTTTTCCTTTTTAAAAAAATTGAATCATCTTTTATTGAATGTTCTTTTAACAGAGAACAATGATTTCATATTCACACAAATACCCTGACTGTCTTAATGAGCCAGGAATGAGATGCAAAGTAAACCAGAAAATACTCTTTAAGTGTTTTGTTGAAATAAATACTATATAGTGTATTTTCTATAAATGTAGTATACTGAATCTTGCACTATTTGAGAACAGCCACTACAATTTTAAAAGCCTCAACCAGCACTTCATTAACACCAAACATCAAATAAATGGCCTCAGGACAATCCCTGTAAACTACATTAGATTTCATTTTTTAAATCATGGTTTTCTTTCTTCTGTGCTAACTAGCATAATGGGAAAGGTGAATTTCAAACTTGCTTTGGAAAATGAAACACATTCATTCATTCATTCATTCATCCACTCATTCAACAAATATTTAGTAAGCACCTACTATGTGCCACGAACTGGATTATGTGCTGGGAATACAATGGTGAGCAAAAACAAATGGGTTCTCTCCATCATGGAACTGACAGTCTAGTGGGAGAGACAGACAATTTCATTATTAAATAAATGTATTTAAAAAGTATAAGCATTTATAGTCCTGATATAGCTGCAACATTAATGCCAAAAAAAAAAGAAAACAGAGTCACTGTTTATAAGTAACTTTTCTTTATAATTGAGAAATAGCAATAGCTTTCATGACACAAAATGTCTTTCATGCTCTTTTGAAGAAAAAAGTCTGAAAGAATGTGGGAAATTATTTACTCAAATATGTTTAATAAGTGTTATTTATAAAAAATTAGTATTTCCACCGAAACCGGTTTGGCTCAGTGGTAGAGCCTCAGCCTGCGGACTGGAAGGTCCCAGGTTCAATTCCAGTCAAGGGCATGTACCTTGGTTGCGGGCACATCCCCAGTAGGGAGTGTGCAAGAGGCAGCTGATGGATGATTCTCTCTCATCGATGTTTCTGACTCTCTGTCCCTCTCTCTTCCTCTCTGTAAAAAAATCAATAAAATATATTATTTAAAAAAAATTAGTATTTCCTCATTTGAGGAAGAACAACACCTAAAAATAAATAAATATACATTCACTTATATTGTACCTCTCCATAGCACCTGACTTTATTATATATATACAGGATCCTTTAGACCAGGACTCTTTCTATCTCATTTACAGCTGTATCCCCAGCACTTAGAACAGTGCCTGCCACGTAGCAGATAGACTCGACAGTTTTTGAATGAATGAACAAACTAACAAGGACAAGGAATTAAAGCAGCTAAAAACTACCTGAAAAGACTAAATATGACCCAAAACAACAATATGAACTATGTACAATGTCAAGATTCAGTGTCAGAGCACAGCTGCAGATGCCATCTGATCTGATGCTCAAGGCCACCGTAAATGATTCCACACTCTCCTGTTGAATCAACTCTAGGTTACATAATTAGATCACCAACCTGTGTTTTAATTCTTCCAAAATAATAGAAAGCCTGGAGCAAGTTACTAATTTTAAACAGATGGTTTCATTTCTTACCTAGATCACTGAAACAGTCCCCTGGCTGGTCTCCCTACCTTTTCTCATGTTGCCCAGCCTACCGATTCCCACAGGGTGGCCACCTAGCAGCCAGGGGGCTCTTTCCCTAACACAGATTAGAACATATCACCTGTCCATCTGCCCACAACCCTCAATGGCTTCCCATAGCTTCCAAAATAAAACCCAAGGTCTAGGGCTTGCCGTTCTCTAACTTTATCTTCATCTTACCCCACTCTAGGTACACTAATTCTCTTGATGTCCTTTCAGCACTTAAGGCAATTGCAGTTTCTGTTCTATCTCTTTAAGACAATTGGCCTCAGACCTTCTAATGGCTTGTTTCTCATTTCAAAGCTCTAATCTAATGCCACTTATCAACTCTCTCATTCTCCAACCCCTTTCCCTGATTTATTTTTCAGCACAGCTATGGTACATTATACTACATAACTGTTTATTGTTTGACTTTCCCACTAGAATGTCAGCTCCCTCAAAGCAAGAGGCTTTGTCTTATTTCTGTGTCCCTAGTTCTGCATAGTGCCTGGTACACAGTAGAAACTAAATATATAATAATTCAAATATTCAGCCAGTTTCACATCATCAAAGATAAGAGATATGGAGCAAGTCTGATCATACTACACTTAGGAGCCCTGTGTCACAGTTCTCTTATGTTTTGACTGGATGACACAAAACTTAAAAAAAAAAAAAAAATTCATTACTAAAATTAAAATAGAATCTTTCCAAAGGATATAAAAATGGTTATATAAAGCAACAGTAGTTTAAAAATATGAAGCTAGTATCTACTGAGAATATAAGACGGGTTTATTACATACATGGAAGGAAGCTTAAGAACAGAGAAACAGTGAAAGTTAGTGGAAATACTGAAATGGGCAACATATTTTTACAGAGATTTAAAATAAACCAGCAAGTAAAATCTCAGAAGGAAGTTATGCAATGGATAACCTATGAAATCTTCTTTGATTTGTATGCTGTTCTCTAGATAATTATCCAGGAAAAATTCAAAAGCTAAAAATACATTTCAAAACATTTTTTTAAAAATATATTTTATTGATATTTCACAGAGAGGAGGAAGGAAGAGAGATAGAGAGCCAGAAACGTCGATGAGAGAGAAGCATCGACCAGCTGCCTCCTGCACACCCCCCACCGGGGATGTGCCCGCAACCAATGTACATGCCCTTGACCGGAATCGAACCCGGGACCCTTCAGTCCGCAGACCGACGCTCTACCACTGAGCCAAACCAGCTTCAGCCATTTCAAAACATATTTAAAAATACCACCAGCATCAAAATAATAAAAATGCTTTTCTATTAAATATTGTTTCTAAAGTACAAAAACATGGGTCTGGAATATTTAATCTAGAATTAGTCTCATTCAACAAGGTATTTAAGAAGTATATTGTGCATCAATTCACTCTGCCTAAAAATTCAGAAAATAGTCAACAATTAAAACATAATAAACACATTTTTATACCAGCTTTGAGAAGCAAACATATAAAGCTATGGTATTTAACCACAGAGAACTTTCACAACACAGTAATTTGAATTTAGAGTCAATCTAAAATTTTAAAAATCATTGTACACTAACAGATCATGTTATGGACTTCATACATTGTGTCCCCGTTAAATACTTATGTTGAAACCCTAAACCCCAATATGATATTGGAAATAGGGCTTTTGGGATGCCAGTTAGGTCTTGATAGCTGAGATTAGTGCCCTAATCAGGAGAAACATGAGAGCTTCTCAAGTAAAAGGATTACCATTTTCTTTCCGTAATCTTGTTATGAACTTCTTGGGAGGTATTACTCCAACCTTTTTCTTCTGGGTGGCTATGCTATGGAACAGATCCGCTAAGCACGTAAGAAGGTTCTCCTTCTTCCTAGGCTGACTCTTGTATGCAAGAACTTTTTCCCGAAATGGACGACAAAAATAAAGTGCTTGAAGAACTGAATTGCAGTAGCAGGTATTCCCAAACTAGAATAGAAAAAAAATTTTTGGTTAAATTTAAGACAACACATTTTTAAGAGAAAGAATTTCCATGTGTATAGTTGAGAGAAGAGAAAGAGATAGATATTTTTGATCCTTACATATTAAAAGGTATCTAAAAAATAGAAAGTTATTCTTACTGCAAACCAGCCATATTAACAATAAACAGATCATCTAGGCATCGTCTCAGATTAAAATTGAAAGAAAATATATGCAATAAATCTGGCCTTTCTGAAAACTCGTTTAAAGAACTATATAGTTTAAGTAGCAACGTTAGTAAGGGTTTCAGATTCTGGATAATTTTAAAATTCCCTTTTTATTGATAGTATTGTTGTATATTAAGCATTTTATATATTATACATTTAAAAGTATAACTTTCAAAAATTATTTTAAAAACACAAAAGTGAGGTGTGTATTTTTTAATCAGATTCTTAAGGGCAACCCATAAACAAACAAATAAACAAAAAAGCTAGAAAAAACAAGACCCTTTGAAATATTACATTAAAAATCTTCAATGTGAGTCTTACAACCACTGAAATGCTAGATGACTTATTCTTGCTCTGTTAGAAAGAAATGAAGTTTAACCCGAGTTATATTCTAAACTATGTATGGCTCTGTCTCTTATTGGCCATGTAATCTGGAGTATGTCACAACACCTTACTGAATTTCAATTTCCTCCTCTTTAGGAAAAACTATACTAACTACAGAGAAAATGACACAAAGCTTAATAAGCATCTATTGCCTTCTTTTTCCCTTCCCACTAATAGACATTGGCTCCTAAAGTAAGCTGATTAAAATACACCGAAAAATCTATGAATGAGGGTTTGGGGAGTACTTTAATACTGTAGAAAGGGAATGATGACAATTCTTACAGTACTACCATGGGGTGAGATCATATATATATTAATTTAAAAGGCTAGGTAAGGCCCTAGCCAATTTAGTTCAGGGAAGAGAGGGTCAGCTTGCATACTGGGTTCTATTTTAGTTAAGGGCATGTAACTCCATTGTAGGCTCAATCCCTGGTTGGGGCACATAAGGAGGGCAATCAATCGATGTGTCTCTCTCACATCAATGTTTCTCTCTCTGTCTCTCCCCTTCCCTTCCACTTCCTCTTTAAAAATAATAAATAAATAAATAAATAAATAAATAATAAAAATATATCCTCCAGTGAAGATTAAAAATAAATAAATAACTTCAAACAACTTTAAAACAGAATTTTTACTATACATACCATGGAAATACAATCTAGAATAAAGAACAAATATAAAACATCATTTAGACATACTGTTAGAACTAATCCACTGATATTTTTTAAACCTAGTACAGATATACTGTAGGATAAAGCAAACAAGGGATTATTTTAATATCCTTAGGAACCAAAATTTTTAATGTAAAGAGAAAAAAGGTAATACAAATCACAGAGTAAAAGCCCTATAAACTTACATTGGAATTACTATTCAATAGAAATATCAGTATAAAATAGTGCCTTTTTGTAAATCTGAGAGAGAGAATGTGTGTTTGTTCAAGGTCTGTCCACCGAAAAGGCCTAGCAGCAATAAGCTTTCCCTGTACCCACACTGTGGCCTCTAAAAAGCCTTTTCCCACAGGACAGGAAGGAACTAAAACATCTTGCAGATAGGGTTATGCAAGGTCTGAGACAGGAAATAAACAATCTATAAGATTAGCCTAGAGAATATTTCAGTGTGGATATAAAAGCCAACTTGCATCAAGAATTACCACAACGAATAAAGAGCACATCAACTACATAAAAATCTATAAATTAATAATAACATTTTAAAAACTCTGTCATTAGTCTTCAATGGAGGTTGTAAACTAGCATATAGTAAGAAAGCAAGTTTTATCTTGCCTTTATATAAGAGCCTTATTTCAGGGGGCACTAAATAGTTGAAAAAGTGAATTCTTGTTCATAGATAATTTCAACTAATAAATTCAGAAGAAATGGTTGTAAATAATGAATTAGGCAAAAACTATCGATACTAAAAACATTAAAGATTGATATGAAACTTTAAAATGAAGACCTGAACCCCCAATGCATTCCAGCATCATTAAAAATGAACAATAAATTTTTATTCTTGTGAAGTAATATAAAACATTTCCTATAAAGCATTCTTGTCTTACAAAACACAACCACTAAACTTTTGTCAAGTGTCTAGATGGAATTACCAATTTATAAGACATTCAGGAACAAAAGAACAAATTAAACAATACCACAAAAGCAGGAATAGGGACATGAGATTCCTAGAGGATATATGACTTCTCCATTCATAATGTTAATCAGAGCCAAGAGCTGATAAAGGCAGATGCTTTTCTTAAAAATTTATCTTTATTGTTTAAAGTATTACAGATGTCCCCTTTCTTCCTCCAACTCCATTGACCCCCTTCTTCCTCACCCTTTCCTCCTCCCCAGGTCTTCACCACACTATTGTCTGTGTCCATAGGTTATGCATATACTCATAAGTTCTTGGGTTATCACCCACGCACCCCTCTCCTCCCCTCCCTTCTGAGATTTGTCAGTCTATTCTATGCTTCTATGTCTCTGGATCTATTTTGTTCATTACCAGTAGTTTATTTTGTTCATTAGGTTCTACATATGAGTGACATCATGTGGATACTTGTCTTTCTCTGACTGGCTTATTTTGCTTAGCATAATACTCTCCAGGTCCCTCCATGCTGTCTCAAAGGGTAAGAGATCCTTCTTTTTCATTGCTGCATAGTATTCCATGGTATAAATGTACCACAACTTTTTATTTACTGGGCAGATGATTTAAAGGCTTTCTAGAGAAATGCTAAAAGAAGTGTGTGATGATGCTGCATTAATATTGTTTATAAATATAACTAGGGATATACTTCAATAAAACTTATTCAAGGGGCTAAGGATACCCGCAGTTGAACCTATAATTATAAAGATTAATTTACCAATTAGTACTAATATGAAAAATACAATGACCAGCAAACTATGGCTCTGTCAATTGAAGATATAATCTCCATAATTTGGATATTTTTATTAAAGAATAAGCAATAAGGTCTCTGACAACTTCCACAGAGGAAATAGATAAAAACAAAAGATAGCATCTCACAGTATATTAGAAAATTTTATAATGAAGCTTGATCTACCTATAAAAAATCATAATAAGTAAATGGGATAAGCTGAAGAACTAGAGGAAATCTATATTTTGTACAGAGGGTTGAAAGTCAGCCCCTTGCTCATCTTCTGAATATAAATCAAATGGTAACATTATAATCATTTATTTGAGGTTTCTAGTATGGCCTTCATTTACTTACCTTCATCCATCCCACCGAAGAAATATTAAAGGCTGAAGTATTTCTTCAGAATATGCTAACTTTTCATCTTATTCACAACTTTGAAACTTCAATTGTTTGATTTTTAATAGTAACTTTCATTCAAGTTCCTAAGAACTAAAGTTATATCCTTAAAGTAAATACTGATACAAAAAAGTGTCTGGGATGACTTCCTCTATTCTCCTTTTTTCTGAATGCTCAATTTCTGAAAAAAAGACATTCTTTAGGGTTGAAATCTAACCTGTGGTTTTTCCTGCTGAGTCTGATGATCAAAGATATGACTAGAATTAAAATCAGAGGAAACAAATTTTAAAAGTTGCCACTCTCCTCAGGACCAGATCATAAATTTTTTTTCAACTACATGTTGAACACAATGACCTATTTTTGCTTTCTCTAATGACTTTTCCCCTAAAGCTTAAAAAATGCCCCCTCCAGTAAATATTTATTATATGCACATCAATATAGATTAGTTAAGCATATATCCCTAATATATACATAGTTTATAAATTCTATATGTAACACATTGCGTACACTAAAAATATAACTGTGATTTAAATGAAGTTAACACTTGAAATTTTTGTATAACTTATACTAATTTTTTTATTTCCACTAAAAATTATTGATATTTAAGTGAGAGCAATAAAACTGGAATTTGTTTGGGGTTGTTTTATAAATTGAGTTACAGATTTTAATACAGTGATTTAATAGTGTGAGTTATTTGGATATGTAGTTTGAATGGCTATCAAAGTTGAAAAAGATATCTTCACAAAGATACATATGTAGATCTAAAAATGGAAAAGAGTTTCCTTTATAGCATTTGCTCTCTAAATTATAGTGTTAAATTTTAAACTCTTATCTGCCAAATTTGTTTGAATTCTTTAAATAACTACCTGTCTTATGAGAAACACAGCAAAGCAACTAAGCGTACCTGAACATGAAGCCAAACTAAGTTTGAGTCTGGTTCTGCTACTTGACCTTGGAAAATTATTAAGCTGCTCTGTTCCTCAGCTTCCCAACTGAACAATGGGGTTTATGACAGCACCTACTTCTTAGAATCTTGTAAAGAATTAAATAATCTACACAAAGCACTTAGGATAGTTCCTAGCACCTTATCATTCAGTTACTTTTGAAATAACCTTTTAAAGCCATTTGGCCATTTTGAAGAATTAGCATAACTGAAATTAAATCATATAATCTCTAAGTCTATATTTAAATTATAATACATTGCAACAGCATCCTATCTAATAAAGAGGGAACATGCAAATTGACCATTACTCCAACACACAAGATTGCCACCCCCATGTGGACACAAGATGACCACCACAAGATGGCTTGCAGGAGAGGGCAGTTGTGGGCGATCAGGCCAGCAGGGGAAGACAGTTAGGGGTGATCAGGCTGGCAGGGGAAGACCATTAGGGGTGACCAGGCCAGCAAGGGAGGGCAGTTAGGGTGACCAGGCCTGCAGCGGAGGGCTGTTGGGAGAGACAAGGCCTGCAGGAGAGGGTAGTTGGGGGGGGGGGGGGGGGTACCAGGCCTGCAGGGGAGGGCAGTTAGGGGCAATCCAGCTGGCAGGGGAGTGGTTAGGGGATAATCAGGCTAGCAGGCAGAAGCAGCTAAGGGCAATCAGGCATGCAGGGGAGTAGTTGGGAGCCAGCAGTCCTGGATTG